CATGCCTGCCCTGCATCAGTATCAGTCTTGACTTCTGAACCAAATTTTCAGTGAAGGGTCTGTTATAGACTGAATGTTTGTGTCCCCCCACCAACCAAATTCATATGTTGAAACTCCAGCCCCCCTCCCAATATGATATTAGGAGGTGGGGCCTTGGGGGGGTGATTAGCCTCCATCTTCATGAATGGGATTAGTGCCCCTATAAAAGAGACTCCAGAGAGCTCTCTTGCTCTCCTTCCCCATGTGAGGTTTCAGTGAGAAGATGGCAGTCTCCAACCTGGAAGAGGGACCTTACTGGAACCCAAGAATGCTGGCACCCTCATCTTGGACTTCCAGCCTCCAGAACTGTGAGAAACAAATTTCTGCGGTTTAAGCCACCCAGTCTATGGTATTTTTGGAATAGCAGCCCAAGCAGACTGAAACGGAGTCCATCCCATCTCTGTAAAGTATCACAACAGTGAAAGGCAGTTGCTGTCACATCAATCCCACTCCTACATTATCTCTGCATTTGCTTTCTTTGTGCTACACAGAGGAAAATCTTCATGTGTGAAGTTAAGAGGGTTGAAAATGGTAACGGCTTTCTTTTTATCAAGTTCCCTTGCATCTTCAGGACCCTCACTGATTCAGAAGCTCAAAAGCAAAATTGAAGTACGCTTTTGTTTTAGACATGAATTCCACCTCCTATTAACTGCCCACATTCCTAAACTTAAAAATTAAAGCCAGGCAAAAGCACCTGTAACTGACAATTAGAGGCTAAAAGTGATTTGGAATATGGCATTACTAAGTGATAATAGGTTGCCCATTCATTTGCTTTTGCACAATTTTATACATAAGGAAATGGAGAGATTATTTTGCAATGACAAGAACATGAGCTGAGCAGATATGACTGATCCTTGCCTGCAGCTGACTGTCTGGGATGGATATATGACATATGGCATAAACATTCAAAAAAATTTACATGAGCTGAGAAGCAAAGTTTAAATTTAGCAAAAGTTCAGTGGTGATCTTCCAGTGGAACATTCACAAAGAGCACAAATACTGCATGTTGTTAAGTCTAAACCACCATCAAATCTAAGATATGCTACTAAAAGAAAAAAAAAATTAAACAATAAAAAGAATTGTTTTATTTAAAAAATTTAACATAACAAAACAAAAACACTGCCAATTAAAATAAGATGGTTCTTTCTTATTACTTAGAATTCTTTTTTTTTTACACGAAGTTTCACTCTTGTTGCCCAGGCTGGAGTGCAATAGTGCAATCTCGGCTCACTGCAACCTCCACCTCCTGGGTTCAAGTGATTCTCCTGTTTCAGCCTCCCAAGTCATTGGGACTACAGGCATGCACCACTATGCCTGGCTAATTTTGTATTTTTAGTAGAGACGGTGTTTCTCCATGTTGGTCAGGCTGGTCTTCAACTCCAGATTTCAGGTGATCCACCCACCTCAGCCTCCCAAGGTGCAGAGATTACAGGCATGAGCCATCATTCCGGCCAGAATTTTTATTTTGTAAAAATATTGTAGGCCAGGTGCCATGGCTCATGCTTATAATCCCAGCACTTTGGGAGGCTGAGGCAAGAGGATCACTCGAGGACAGGAGCTTGAGACCAGCTTGGGCAACATAGTGAGACTTCATCTCTACAAAAAATTATAATTTTTTATAAAATTAATAAATATATATATTATTTCCTAATTTTAAGAAAAGCTCCTTTCACCTACTTAAATAATTTTTTAATATTCCACTTATATTTTTATGTTCTGTTCAAACCAAAAAGAAAACACAGGTGAAATGCATTGGTTAAGGTATTTCTCTAACTTCTTCACATTCAAAGCCCACCTCTTCAGAATCAGTCTTCCACTCAGAGTCAACGATGTCCTCTGCAACATTGCTTACGAGGATGCTTCTCTATTGTCTCCAGGATTTCTTCCCAGCTGCAGATCCAAGTCTGAAAGTTTTTATAATGGCACTTTCTTGCTTTAAAAAAAACAATTTTTTTTTTGAGATGGAGTGTCGCTCTGTCAGTCAGGCTGGAGTACAGTTGGCTCATTGCAACCTCCATGTCCCATGTTCAAGTGATTCTCATGCCTCAGCCCCCTGAGCATCTGGGATTATAAGCACCCGCCACCACCCTGGCTAATTTTTGTATTTTCAGTAGAGACAGGGTTTCACCATGTTGGCCAGGCTGGTCTCGAGCTCCTGACCTCAAGTGATCTACCCACCTCCGCCTCCCAAAGTGCTAGGATTACAGGCATGAGCCACTGCACCAAGCCTACTTTCTTGATTTTATAAGAATATGTCAAAGAAAAAGAATTTTCAGACTTCAAACTCCTGGTCCAGTGATTTATTGCCTAAAGGGGGCAATTGTGCAGTCAGGCTACCAGGAATAACAAACAAATTGAAACCCATAGAGGCCATGACACTGCAAAGCAACTGCCACGTGGTTGCCAGTGACTGTGAGTGGCCAATGATTTTAAGACACAGTTTCACGTCAAGAACATTGAGATGTGAAAAAGTGGGCATTGCAGAATTGGTGAACAAAGGCTGATGCAATAAAAATGCACAAAATGAATTGATCTGGTATATAACAGAATGTTTTGTGCTGTGGGTGTTGTTAATAGCTTTAGAAGTTATTAATGAAAACTCAGACATTTGCAGACTCCTAATGCATTTTTAGGTACAGTCCAAGCAATTCGCAGATCCAGGCTCACTTAAGAACCCAAGGCTCTGCGCCACCCGTTTCCTGCCTGCACTATTGCTTTAGCTCCAGCCACCCTTCTGTGCTCCAGTGGTTTTTTTTTTTTTTTTTTTTTTTTTTTGAGATGGAGTTTCGCTCTTGTTACCCAGGCTGGAGTGCTATGGCGCGATCTCGGCTCACCGCAACCTCCGCCTCCTGGGTTCAGGCAATTCTCCTGCCTCAGCCTCCTGAGTAGCTGGGATTATAGGCACGTGCCACCATGCCCAGCTGATTTTTTGCATTTTTAGTAGAGACGGGGTTTCACCGTGTTGGCCAGGAGGGTCTCAATCTCCTGACCTCATGATCCACCCGCCTCAGCCTCCCAAAGTGCTGGGATTACAGGTGTGAGCCACCGCACCTGGCTTCTGCTCCAGTGTTTTAAAGATAGCTATCGCTCCCTGAAGAGCCATCATCAGATGCACATTTTTGCATTTACACCTGATATTCCATCCACAGGTATGCCATGTCCCACTTTGTCCTATTGGTGAATTCCTACTTAGCCCAAATACTACCTCCTCCAGAAAGCCTTCCAAGATTTTTCTAGGTTCCTGTAGCCCTGTGGTACTTAGGTGGAGAGTGTCTGTTTGTGGGTGTTCTTCCTCCATTACACTGTGAACTTCTTGGGGGCAAATGCTTTATCTTTTTGCTTTGTGCAGTCCCAGTCCCCTGAACAAGTGCCTGGAATAGCAGGTTCTCAGCCAAAGTCCGTCAGAGCAATGAATGAATGAAATGTTATCACTTAGCTGCCACCTGTGTGATGTGATGTGAAAACTGCTGGAAAAATCTCCATCTCCCACCTCCCAGCATTTTACCAATAGATATTTGAAAGAGCCCCCTACTGAAATGAAATGCCCTTAATAACACCTTAACTCATCTTAGCAAATAAGCAGGAGTCAGCTAATCATATGAGTCTGGCCATGACAGCTGGCTGGAAATATTCCCATGCAGAACTGAGCACAAGAGGGGGACCAGAGGAGAGGAAGAGGCCACCCTCAAAGAGGAAAAGAAAATATTACTTCCTCCAGGAATGGTCTCCAGCCCTTCCCCCCAGTCTCAATTAGGTGTCCCCTTCCCCAAAGCCCAGAGTCCCATTACTGTGTGCTATTAATGATTTCATGTCTCTCTCTCTCTCTCTCTCTCTCTCTCTCTCTCTCTCTCTCTCTCTCTCAGACCCATTATCTTGTTCATCACTGTTTCCCCAACAGTCAACACAATACCCAACACACGTTGGTTGCTTATTAGGAATTTGGAGAACAAATAACATTGAATTTGAGAGCCAACATTTATGTCTAGGAACAAAGTGGGCAGCCTGACAGAAAGAAACATGTGGACACCTCTGCCTCACTCCTTCTCCACCACAGGGCTGCTAACTCTGGCCCCAAGGTGAAGACTGGCAAAGCCCAGGGAGGTGTGTAGCCCCTTAGGGCTGAGAATGTCTTCACATCAAGCCAGCATCAAGACATCTGATTAGGAAATAGTGGTTGAGTTGGCACAAAAAGAATCATGACGTCCTAACATATGTTGCTTGACACAGAAAGAACCCACACATTAGTACGTGCTGTAGAAGTCACGCTCACAGAAGTGAGCATTTAGGCAAATCAAAGAGAGGGCAGCCCTGGCCAGGACCTAGGCCCTTTATTGCCTGCTATGCCATTGATTTTTATAGAGGAGCCCCTCTTCCGTGCCAGGCACCTCGCTGCTGACCCCTTCCCATGGTATCTGATCCTGCAGGCTGTGAATTGTTTTGCCCACTCCATAGCACCTAGCAGAGTGCCTGGTGCAATGATTGGGCACTCCATAAATATTCGCTGAGTGATGGGATGATGAAGGAAATGAGGCTGAGAGAGATTCAAGGACTTAACTGGGTCTTCAGTATGAGGTGGATCCAGAATTCAAACTCAGGTCTGGCTGAGTCTGGAAATCTGCAGGTGGGAAGGCTCCTGCCTTACAGGTACAAGGGCGTGCTCAGAGATTACTGGCTCCAAGACAGTAAGAGTCAACTCATCTTTTTTTTAAATTTGTGTCTCCCCCTCCTCCCTCCCTCCCTCTCCCCATCTTCGCCCTCCCCTTCTCTATTTCTACCTGTTTCTTTCTCTTTTCTCTTTCCTTTCTTTCTCTTTTTCTTTCTCTCTTGTTCTTTCTCCTTCTCTTTCCTTCTTCCTCTCTCTCTCTCTCTCTCACTCACTCACTCGCTCCCTTTCTCACCCTCCCTCCCTCTCTCCCTCTTCCTCTCTGCATGTCTCTAGCTTTTTGATCCAGTCCGTGAAGATGGGCCGTGGATATTTTGCTATTCTGAGGGAAGAGAGTGCAATGAAAAAGAAGCAACAGCAACTTCAGAAACTGAAAGAGGAAGAAAAAAATAAATTCCAGCCAGCCAAAAAGACCTCAGAAATCCCCTATGGGGACACCTTATTGGGGTAAGTGGGTGCAGTATCTGTGGCACTGAAGGTCTGGGGAATGACCACTGAGAGTGAACCCTGCCTGGTTAGGTCGAGCGAGGGCAGCTGTCTCAGAGCAGGTGCCCCTTCTCAGCCTGGCATCTAACACATTCTTTTTTTGGGGGATGGAATGTTGCTCTCGCTGCCCAGGCTGGAATGGAGCGGCACAATCTCGGCTCACTGCAACCTCCTCTTCCCAGATTCAAGTGAGTCTCCTGCCTCAGCCTCCTAAGAGATGGGATTACAGGTGCTCGCCACCATGCCCAGCTATTTTTTTGTATTTTTAGTAGAGACGGGGTTTCGCCATGTTGGCCAGGCTGGTCTCAAATTCCTGACCTCAGGTGATCCACCTGCCTCGGCCTCCCAAAGTGCTGGGATTACAGGCGTGAGCCACCATGCCCAGCTACATCTAACACCTTCTTTAGTCTGGTTCAGCCAACCTTGATAGCCCCACTTTCTGGTACTTGCTAGAATATCTTCCACTTATCACTAACCACCCAGCTTAAATGCTGCCCTCTCCCAATATTTCCTGGATTTCAGTTCAACCACCTCCTGCACCATTCGCACTTCAGGTCCCCATAATACGTGTTTACTTGCTAGTTTGTGTATGCCACATTAGTATCTCTGTTCCAGACTTTCAGCTGCAGCCCCAGGGCCTGGCTCATTGTCCACACAAAGCAGGTGCACAAAAAATGCCTCCTGTTTTTGTACAGGACTTACCCCTGGTTGGAAAAGGACTGTCAACAGACTGGTCCATTATGAAATGTCCATGCATATAATAATAGCAACAATAACAATAAATACAACTGTGATGATGATGTTTACTGTGTGCTTTATGCACACCCATTTGGCTAAATTTTAAAACATTCCTGAGATAGGTGCTACTATTGGCCCCATTTTAGAGCTGGAGAAATGAAGCTTAGAGGTTAACTAATCTTCCCCAAGGTCAGTAGTTAGAAAGCAACTCAGAGTCCCAAACTCAGTGGCACCAAAATCCATCAACTGCACTGTTTGGCATGGACAAAATCCTGGGATACTTTGAGCTTGTGCAGACTGAATGAGGCACAAATCAAGGATGGAAAGGGAGTGCCGAGGCAGCCAGGGAGGAAAGGCAGGGTAGAAAAGTGGCCTGCAGGCCAGGCACGGTGGCTCATGTCTGTAATCGCAGTGCTTTGGGAGGCCGAGACCAGCAGATCACCTGAGGTCAGGAGTTCGAGACCAGCCTGACCAATATGGTGAAACCCGGTCTCTGCTAAAAAATACAAAAAATGGCCAGGCATGGTGGTGGGCACTTGTAGTCCCAGCTACTCAGGAGGCTGAGACAGGAGAATTGCTTGAACCCAGGAAGTGGAGACTGTAGTGAGCCAAGATCATGCCACTGCACTCCAGCCTGGGCAACAGAGTGAGACTCTGTCTCAGGAAAAAAAGAGAGAGAGAGAGAAGAAAGGAAAGGAAAGGAAAGGAAGGAGGAAGGAAGAAAGAAGGAAAGAAAGAGAGAGAGGGAGGGAGGGAAGGAAGGAAGGAAAAAAAGAGGGAAAGGAAGAAATAAAAGAGAGAAAGAGAAAGAAAGGAAAAAAAGAAAGAAAGAAAGAGAGAGAGGGAGGGAGGGAGGGAGGGAGGGAGGGAGGGAGGGAGGGAGGAAAGAAAAGAAAAGAAAAGAAAGAAAGAAGGAAAAGAAAGAAAGCTGGCCTGTGTCTGTAGCCACTCTCCTGTCAGAGCAGCTGTTGCAATCCTAGCTACACCTGAGAATCATCTGGCAAGTTTTTCTAAACATCACTGTCCAGGCCAGTTACATTAGGCTTTCTAATGTGTATTAGCTGTTCATACACTTTTTAAATTGTTTTTAATTTCAGTAGGTTTTGGGGTGGTCTTTGGTTACATGAATAAATTCTCTAGTGGTGATTTCTGAGATTATGATGCACCCATCACCCAAGCAGTGTACACTGTACCCAATGCAAAGTCTTTTATCCCATGCCCCCCCACCCTTCCCCAGGAGTCTCCAAAGTCCATTATTATCATTCTTGTGCCTTTGCATCCTCATAGCTTAGATCCCACTTATAAGTGAGAATATACAATGTTTAGCTTTTCATTCCTGAGTTTCTTCACTTAGAATAAGGGTCTCCAACTTCATCCAGGTTGCTGTGAATGCCATTATTTCATTTCTTTTTATGACTGAATAGTATTCCATGGTGTATATCTATATACCACATTTTCTTTATCCACTCATTGATTGATGGGCATTTGGGCTGGTTCCATATTTTTGCAATTGTGAATTGTGCTGCTATAAACATGCATGTGCAAGTGTCTTTTTCATACAATGACTTCTTTTTGTTGTATGAAAATCCCATTACCCATTACCCAGTAATGGGATCACTGGATCAAATGGTAGATCTACTTTTAGTTCTTTAAGGCATCTCCACACTGTTTTCCTTAATGGTTGTACTAGTTTGCATTCCCCACCAAAAAGAAAACATGCTCAACATTGCTAATTATCAGGGAAATGCAAATCAAAACTGCAATGCAATACCACCTGACTCCTGCAAAGAATGGCCACAATAAAAAATAATAATAATAATAGATGTTGGCTTAGATATACTCATAGAATTTTTTTTTTAAAGGCAGGGTTTCACCATGTTAGTCAGGCTGGTCTTGAACTCCCGACCTCAGGTGATCCGCCCACCTTGGCCTCCAAAGTGCTTGGATTACAGGCGTGAGCCACTATGCCCAGCCTATTCATAGAATTTTTTTAAGTTTCCAAGTGAGTCCATTGCAAAGCCATGGTTGGCAGCCATTATGCTAAGGCTGCCTTCAGGAATCCAAACTGCCAGTTCATTTGCTGAAAATGAAACAGAAGCCACAACAGGCACTCCCTCTCCTCTGCATCATTTCCCAAATTCTATTCTTCAGAATGTTAATTTAGAGACACGTGAATATGTGCTTCTTATAAACAAGGGTCCTGTCCACGGAATCATATAATACAGGTATTGATCGACTTATGACCTATGCAACTTACGACCATTCGACTTTACGACCACAATCGCTAGCCACGACAGTGCGGACCAGCTTCCGGCAGCACTACCATCTCCACGTGCACCATTTCAACTGTTATCCCAGACTCGGTACAGCAATTTGTGTTTTGTGTCTTGGATATTTTTCATCAAACCCCTCCCAATAAACTTCTTGTGCATTTCGAAGCAATGGACCCAAACATCGAACAATTTGCAAGGATTGAACGGATGGCGCACAATGTGTTTTGTCTGTATCGTGAAATTCATGAAGAAAAAAAGAAACATACAATTCAGACAAAGCTCACCATGTTTATGAAAAAACCAACTCCGGTAACCCCAACTGCTGCCTCAGATGACAACATTAACGATCCGCAGCCAAGCACCAGCGGCCAATAAAATGTTTCGTACATGTTTATATATTTTGATATGTTTTGCAATTGGGAAAATGTTTCCTATGGTATTTTTTACACCTGTATTTTGTATTTTTGTATGCACCTGTATTTTGTAATTTTGTTTGTTTTGCAAATATTAAACCAGTTGTATTGGTAATGCAGTGTTTTACTTAAACCTGACGAATGTAAAAATAAGGAACAAGATGGTGTAGAGATGATACAAATGGCATAAAATGAACAAAGAAAATTATGATATATAACAATAATGAAAGAAAATTATGATAAAATATGACTTAAAGATTTTTATAACATCATCTCACAGTACTGTACATATAGTCTACTCAACTTACGACCAAATCGTGTTACGACTGGTCTGTCAGAATCAATCGTGGTCGTAAGTCAAGCACTAGCTGTAGGTGACTTTTCTGTGTCTGGTTTCTTCCACCTATAATGCATTTGAGGTTCATCCTAGACAGAGAGCAGATTGGGGTTGCCAGCAGCTGTGGGCAGAGGGCACGGGAACTGACTGCATGGGTCTGGGGTCTCCTCTGGGAGTGATGAAAATGTTTTTGTAACAAGAGCTGATGGTTGCACAAAATGGTACAATGCACTAAATATCACTAAACTGTACTCTTTAAAACTGTACTCTTTAAACTGTTCTCTGACTTTCACCTTAATTTTTTTTCAGGCTGGGCTTGGTGGCTCACACATGAAATCCCAGCACTTTGGGAGGCTGAAGCAGGAAGATTACTTGAGCCTAGGAGTTCAAGACCAGCTTGGGCAACATAGACCCCTACCTCTATTTAAAGAAAAATATATATGATTTTTTTCACATAGAACAAGGTTTCTTGTCTGTGAGGCCTTGGGTAACAAGTCAGAGGAGAACTGGACCTCTTTTTTTTTTTTTTTTTTTTTTTTGAGAAGTAGTCTCACTCTGTCGCCCAGGCTGGAGTGCATTGACATGATCTCGGCTCACTGCAACATCCGCCTCCCAGGTTCAAGCAATTCCCTGCCTCAGCCTCCCGAGTAGCTGGGATTACAGGCGCCCCCCTCCACACCCGGCTAATTTTTGTACTTTTAGTAGAGATGGGGTTTCACCATCTTAGCCAGGCTGGTCTTGAACTCCTGACCTGGCGATCCACCCGCCTCGGCCTCCCAAAGTGCTAGGATTACAGGCGTGAGCCACCGCACTGGGCTGAGAACTGGACCCCTTTAAAACTCAAGGGTCCAAGTGATGGATGAGAACCCAGACTACAAGACCTCACAGAGCTAGTATATTTCCAGTCACCAACCCTCTGAATTATGGCTGTTGGGATCCCAGAACATCATGGAAAGAGTCTCCTCTTTGACTCCGCATTTGTGTAGACCCTGGGCTCAGCACAAATTGTGCCTTCGTGACCAAGCTCAATGGCACCCATAGAGTCTGATACTCCCAGTGACAGGCTGGCAGCCTTTCCCAGGAAGAAAGAGAAGGCATGAACTCATGGCTCTTTTTTCGTAGGAGCTATGCTCAGATTGACAGGCAAACTCAACAAGCACTAGAGAAGGAGGGTGTCTACCAAAGACACTCCTTTGCCTGTTTAAATGGCTCAGGTGTAAAGTTTAACTTGTTTGGATGGAGTTTTTTTATCCATGGTCATAGAACGCAATTCTCCCCACTCCCATCCATGTTTCAGTGCGTTAGATGTGATTTATTTAAAGTTTAATAACTTTAAATATGCGTGAGATCACTCCTCTTGTAGACTTTTGTCTAGTTATGTCTTATCTGGTAGGTTCTATGAGCTGTACAAAGCTGGTTATTAAAATAAAACTGGAAGTCATTACTGCAAGGTGGCCATCAAATGCACAGGTGGGAGGTATTATAAAATAGCATTAGGAGATTGTCTATACCCAGACAGGGTAGTGGTGGTGAAGTACACAAGCCTTGGAACCAGTTAGGACTTCCCCCACATAACTGTTTTACTTTGAACAAATCCCTGTACCTCTCTGAGTCCCCTTTTTCTTCACCTACATAAAAAAAATGGTACCAAATTTCCAAGCTTAGTATGAGGATTAAATGAAATGATACTTAGCCTACAGCCTACCTATAAGACATGCTCAGTAAATGTTACCTATTATGATGCGATAATGTGAGCTTGAGCTCCCTGAGCCTCAATTACCTAAAATCCTTAAATGTATGGCTAAAAATCGTAATTTCCATGAAAGCTAAAAAGCATCTCACATCCAACAGCGATGCGTCTATAGATAAAATTCCAATCACAAAAGTACCAAAAATACAAGTGTTCATTTATAAAGACTTTTTTCACAAAGCATTTGATCTTGTGCCTCATAAAAGCAAAAGGAATTATTTTCTCCCCTCTGGATCTAAGACCATAGAATACATTTTTTAGACAAAAATTTTAAGACCGACAAACTATGCAGGGAAAAAAGAAAGTCAAGCACATCCCCAAAGATTTCTGCCTGCAAGCAGTCTTTCCCACTGTGCTCAGTGACCTCGTTTTTCAGCTGCAGATTCAGCTGAAAAGGTGGGGGAAAAAAAATGATGGGTAGAATTTGTTTTATTATTGTGGTTGAGAGAAGACATAAAACCAGAGATTAAGGATGTAAAAGCTGGGTTAATTTCCACGTATCCTAAACCACTGAAAGACACAGTTGAGCCAGTAAGAAGAGGTCACAGCCATGTATTTGTTTGTGGTTTTCTCAGCTCTAGGGTTGAATAAAGAGTCAGTGGAAGTGAAAATTGGAGGATCTGGATTCTGATCCTATTTTCTCATTAACTCTGTGACCCCAGAATTGTTCTCAAATTCTGAGGAGGAAGGTAAACTCCTAACTTGCATCCCAGCATCATCTCCACTGGCCCCCTCCATCCCATTCCCCAAGCCCCAAGCTAAGTGATCTTTTCAAAATATAAATTGCATGTAGCTTAACAGCCTCCATGGTTGCCTTTCCTCTAGTGTAAACACAAAAGTCTGAGCAGGGGTTCCAAGACCCTGGATGGTCTAGCCTGTGGCTTGCCTATCCAGCCTCAGCTCATAGCCTCCTCTTACTCCCTCCACCCTAGCCACACTCTCCTACTTTCTTACTCATGACATGGTCTCCTCTACAGAGTCTTTGCACATGCTGTTCCCTCTGGCTGGAAGGTTTTTCAATTCTCCATTTACCCAGTTAATTTCCATTCAACCTTCAAATTTCAGTTCAATATTTACTTCTGCTACAGTTACTATTGCCATGAATACCCACTCTAAAACTTATTAACTCAAGAAAATCAGAACTTCTTTCTCTCATAAATCTCCAATTTGAGTAGGGCTCAGAGGGAAGAATTGTATCTACTCCACAAAACACTAGCTGGGGAAGCTCAAAAGACCCATTTCCAAGACAGGTGGGAAGCTATATTTGGCTGTCAGTTTGTGAGCTTGATTCCTTTCCCTGTGGGCCTCCTCACAGGCTGCCAGCTTCCCCACAGCATGGCAGCTGAATGAAGGGTGAGCATCCCAGGACACAGGAAGGAGAGGCTGCCAGTTTCTGGTACTCAGAATTACATCACTTCTGACACACTCTATTAGGTCAGCTGATTACAGAGCCAAATGAACATAGACCTACCTCTTGATTGGAGAAGTTTCAAAGAATTTGGGAGACATGTTTTGAAATCGCCACATCCTCAAGGAAGTACAGTATTCCCTGGCTTCCATTTCAGTCAAATTTACAGTTCTAGGCTGTTAAAGCCCTTTCCCCTTGGCACATTTATCACAACTGTGTGTTTGGTTATGCCTGTCTCCCCCACCAGATCCTAAGCTTCAGAAGAGGAGAGGCTGGATCTGTTTCATGCATTGTTGCATTGGCAGCCTCCAGCTCAGAGAAGAGGTTCAATAATTATTGATAGAAATGAATGAATCAGGGAACCTGTCAATGATCCAATCAATGAAAGTACTTAGACTGTGGCTCAGAAGCTAAAAGACCATCAGGTAACAGGCAGATGGCATGAATTAGAAAGAAAAGCAGAGAGTGGGAACGAAGGGTGCTTGTGTTTGGGGCAACTCAAGAAGCACATACCTCATGCAAAGCAGTCTGTGGCTCATCATTCTTATCAGTAGAAACACAGGTCCCGAGTGGCCAGAACTTTCAATTTTTTGAAGGCCAAAGTTTTTCCATGTTTATGTGACATCTCCCAATTTTAAAATGTGGAGAATTGATTCAACTACACATACACACACAGAGACAGAGAGAAAAAGAGTGGATTAATTAAAAAATGTCTGTGGACTGAAGTTGGCCGTGAACAAAAACTATATACCCTGCAGCCAGGTGTGATGTCTCACGCCAATAATCCCAGCACTTTGGGAAGCCAAGGCAGGTGGATCACTTGAGGATAAGAGTTCAAGGCAAGCCTGGCTAAGGCCATCTCTACTAAAAATACAAAAAAATTAGCCAGGCATGGTGGCACATCCCTGTGATCACAACTACGTGGGAGGTTGAGGGACGAGAATCCCTTGAACCTGGGAGGCAGAGGTTGCAGTGAGCCAAGATCGCACCACTACGCTCCAGCCTGGGTGACAGAGTGAGACTCTGCCTCAAACAAACAAATAAACAAACAACAACAACAAAATACATATCTCCTAGGGCTCAAGCATGACAAATCCCCTTCCCCTAAAAAACCCTATTTTCTATAATGGAAATGATTTGTTCTGCTGTGATGGTGGAAGAAAAAAATACCTAAATATGGTATTAAATTGCTATTTCCAGAACACCGCTGAAAATATCTCTTGCCTGGACCTTGAAACAAACATTTCCAACCCTTAGTATGGTACACTAGTATACCAGATGATTTATCTTGTTTATTCTCTTGGCTCTTCTAGCAGAATATATACTCCATGAGGGCAGGGACTTTTATATGCTCTGTCAAGAAACTGCATCTAAAACTCTCATCCCTCTGGCAGGAATTATTTGCCTGATACATAGTAAGTGCCCAGTCATATCTGCCAAGTAGATCCTAGCAAGAGAAGAAGGTGTTCAAAGCTACTGCTCGTTGTTCACTTTGTTTCTCTGTCTGCTTGTCCTTCAGCACCTATGACGATGTGAAGCTGAAGAAGCTGGGAGCTGGAGTCACACGTCGCCCGTTCACTCCCATCCACAGCTGCCTCATTTCTCCCTTGCTACCCGAGGCTCACATGTAAGTAGTTGCACCTCCGGCTCATTTGCTTTGCGAGCTTATAAATTGAAGCCGAACTGAAATGACTCAATGAGCTGTCATGTCAGGAGCTGTTCCTTTGTCCTCTTGAAAGGGGCATGAAGCCTGGAGCTGGCAAAGCTATTTGGCATATAAAAATAACAGAAAGTAGACACAGTGGTTTACAGCTAAGTGGCGAGTCAGCTGGGACTGAGTCATTTCATTTCTTACCAAGCCAGACACTCTAATGTCAAATAGTTTGCAAAGCCTGATAAAATCTGTCTACAGCCCTCGTCGAGTGTGTGTGAGAACATCTCAGCCTGTGCTCAGGGGACACATTTTCCCCAAGACTCAAGGAGCTGTTTCCCAGAGAAGCCCCTCCAGTTTTCTGACCTGAGACATAAACTCATCATTGCATGGTGCAACAGGAGCTAATCAACCTTCCAAAGAACAATTTTGCTTTAGAAAATCTTGACATCTTATTCCCCTTGTGTCTATTCCAAAGAATCTCAAGCCCAACTTTTTTTCTTTCCCCAGTTAGCACTTTTCAGCTGGAAGACTTCAGGCACAGGAATATAAGCTTTTGACTTTGGGGCAGGTTTTTTTGGCCTTGACACTGCTGACATTTGGAGAGAAATAATTAACTCTTTGTTGTGAAAGGCTGTCCTGTGTATTGCAAGATGCTTAGCTGCATCCTCTACCCACTAGATGCCAGCGGTGACAACCAAAAATATCTCCAGACATTACCAAATGTCCCCTGGGGGCAAAACTGGATGAGCCCCCACCCCCCACCCCCACCACACACACACACACACACACACACACACACACACACACACACACACACACTCCACATTGAGAACCACTGCCTTAGGGCAATGGATGCATTTAGAGCTGTGATACGATGATTCCAGACTTCTCTGCCTGCTCATTTGTCAAATATTTATTAGGCTCCTACAGTGTCCGCAGTGATAATGGCCACTCCTCATCACTCTGTAGCCATTATCTCACTCGGTCCTCTCAGCCTCCCTGTTGTGTAGGTGTATCATTATCCCCTCTCTGCAGATGGGAAAGCAGAAGCTCAGAGACATATATTCACCTATTCAAGGTCACAGAGGTCAGTGTGTTGCTGACTCAGGTCGATCTGACTGCAGAGCCCAAGCTTTCATCACCACACACTACACAGAAAGTATATCTCAAAGCCTTGCCTTTCAGGAGCCCATAATGTATTTGGCAAGCCAAGTTTCCTATACGTGAAGAGTAAAAGAATGCAAGAGTGAAATCATAGGATAAGATGGCAACAAAAGAAAATCACTAATTAGAGCCCTTATTGCATGAATGGAAGATGCAAAAATCATCCCCAGCACCATCATCATCATCATCACCATCATCCCTACCACCATTATCATCATCACCATCATCATCATCCTTCCCTAATATTTCAGTCATTAATGAGCCCCATCACACTCCACCCCATGCCACTTTCCTCCTACCTCTCTTTGATTGGTACTATGATTATAACATAGCTGGCACCTAAGCTTGATGTTTTTAAAGCATCGCCTTGCAAAAATAGGCCTTGCAATTTCTCATGATGTCTCTTGAATATACTCTTGCACTTCTGGTCATGTCTCCATGGACAAGCCTTCCAGAACCAATTGGTATAGAACCAGTGGGCTTTCCCTTGCATCTGAATCATCTGGGGCTGGGGGGAGAGCAGGGAGAAAATGTTTCAGAGAATGCCTATCCCTGAGCCCCATCCACAATTTATTTGGTCTGAGCCACTGAGGTTTACTTAAATCAGCTTTGAAGAGATGGAGAGAGTTTCTCACCCATCTTCTGTCAATGTCAGATGGGAAAAGCAAAGCCCAGAAAGGGGGAAGAAACTGCCAAAAGTCTCATCACAGAAATCTTTTTTAAAAAAGATTTTATTTCCTTAAGTTATTGGGGGAACAGGTGGTGTTTGGTTATATCAGTAAGTTCTTTAGTGGTATTTTGTGAGATTTTGGTGCACCCATCACCTGAGCCATATACACTGCACCCAATTGTAGTCTTTTATCCTTCACCTCCTTCCCACCCTTTCCCCTTGAGTCCCCAAAGTCCATTGTGTCATTCTTAGGCCTTTGCATTCTCATGCCTTAGCTCCTACTTATGAGTGAGAACATACTATGTTTGGTTTTCCATTTCTAAGTTACTTCACTTAGAACATAGTCTTCAGCCTCATCCAGTTTGCTGCAAATGTCATTAATTCATTCCTTTTTATGACTGAGTAGTATTCCATTATATATATATATATATATATATATATATATATATATATGGCACAGCTTCTTTATCCACTGGTTGATTAATGGGCATTTGGGTTGGTTACACATTTTTGCAATTGCAAATTTATAACAGGAATCTTGATCTCCTGACAGCTAAGTCAGATCTTTACACCAGGTTTGTTACATAGGCTCGTATTATTATTAGTATCACAGTGGATATTGTTTACATTTGCATTAGATCAAGGGTCAGCAAACTTTTCCTTAAATGGCCAGACGGCAAAACTTTTAGGCTTTACTGACCAGGTAGTCTCCCTTACAACCACTTAACTTTGCTGTTGTAGAATGAAAACTACAGCAATGGATGTGGCTATGTGCCAATAAAGTTTTATTTACAAAATCAAAGTGGCAGGCCCACTGGCTGTAGTTTGCTTCAGTCCCTGTCCAGGACTGAAGGCTGCTTTTTCTTATCCTCAGCTCTTCAAAGGCTCTGGCTGCATTTGATGACTGTATTTCTAAGGTATGGCTGTATTACAGATCACTTCAACATGCAGTGGCTTAAAACAACTATTTAGTATTGCTTCCAAGCCTACAGGTCAGCGGGGTTGTTCTGCTGGTCAGGCTGGCTTGGCTGATCTTGGCTGGATGTGCTTATGTGTGTATACCCAGCTGATGGGTGAGCTGGAGGTTGGCTGATCTAGAATGGCCTCATTCTCAAGTCTGTTGGTTGGTTGTTTGGTGGCCAGGGTGACATGGGTGAAATACTGAATGTCTCTCAACACCCAGCAAGTGAACTCAGACTTGTTCACATGGCAACAGAGAGGGTTCCAAGAACAAGAACCTAAGCATCCAAAGCCCCTTGAGAGAAATGATGGTGATGATGATGGTGTTGGTGATGGTTATTGCATTTTCCATCCATGAACTAGGCTCCCTCTCACCACATTCTGCTGGTCAAAGCAAGTCACCAGGCCAGCCTAGATACAGGGAGTACAGGGAAACACGTCACTTCTTGATGGGGGAAGCAGCAAAGTCACATCCCAAACTGTGAAAAGCAGAGAGGGATGGTGGTGTTGTAATCAGTCTACCAAAAGGCACCAGGGCTGGCTCTGCCTGGTAATTCCCAAACTCTCAGTTGTCACATCAGCCATCGTGGATCAGAGCCTGGTCAGTCCCTTCAATACCCGTGTGATTGATCTCAAAAGTGGCTAATTCCAAATCGACTGTGTAGGGATCAATTCAATCATGTACCAAGAGACTGACTGACATTTATCTTTAAAAAAGGAAGGGGTGGTCTCTAGGAATGAGAAGCAGCCCCTCGTTTTTCCCTCTTAGATGACCGGACTATGCCCCACAGCTTTTAATGAGCAATTGGGCAGCAAGTGAAATGCCTGAAACCTGTGTCCAGATTTGCCCTTGGCAATCAGCATGGGGTGCTTGGAATGGCTTTGAATGCTTTTTCCAATTTCTCTTAGTAAAAGGAAAAAAAATGTTTTCTTCTCAGAGCTGTTTATGCCCACTGGGATTCTGGTTGGTACAGCAGTTTTAAAAGAGTGAGCTATTCAGGTGTGCTGACCGCTGGTGCTTGCCCAGAGTTCTGAGCTCAGGGACTTCAGAAGCACGCTTTGTGTATCCCTGTTCAGCATTCTCACCTCTTATACCCTGCATTAAAAAAAAATAAATGTTCTCTCTTTTAATTTGATAAAATCCAAGATACTATGCTATGACCTGACACATGATCATTATGAGAAAAGACTGATTTCTATCAAGCATGTTTCTGGGGACTTTTTTTTTTTTTTTTAAGTTTGTTTCATTGCAGATCAGATGAGCAATCATCAGGTTTAGGGCATTTTTTATAAATGGAGAAAAAGGACCAGACCTATCAGATGAAACCCTATTCTGATGTAAAGGGAGTCTCTACCCTATAACAAGAGACAACATCCACACTGTCATTAAGAGTATGAATTCAGAAGCCAGACTGCCTGGGCTCACATTTTCCAACTTTGCCATTTGCTGTCTTTTGTGACCTTGGACAAGTTATATGGGCCTTTATGCCTCAACTTCCTCATCTGCAAAATGGGGATGATAATAATACCTTCTTCAAAGGATCGTATAAGAATGAAATTCGTTAATGCATATTGGGCACTTAAAACAGTGTCTGGCATAGAGTAAGTGCTCTTATGGAAACATTTACCATTACTGTTACTTTGTTGTTTTGGTTGTTGTTGTTTTTGATACTACTTTTCATTATCTCAGTGATTCTGTATATAAGAATTGGGCTCAAGTACAGGTGCAGTGGCTCATGTCTGTAATCCCAGCACTTTGGGAAACAGAGGCAGGCAGATCACTTGAGCCCAGGAGTTTGAGACCAGCCTGGGCAACATGGCAAAAACCCCATCTCTACAAAATACAAAAACTAGCTGGGTATGGTGGCATGCCCGTAGTCCCAGCTACTCAGGAGACTGAGGTAGGAGGATTGCTTGATCCCAGGAGGCAGAGGCTGCAGTAAGCCAAGATCATGCCACTGCATGTCAGCCTGGGTGACAGAGTGAGACCCTATCTCAAAAAAAAAAAAAAAATTGTGCTCAAGTTATCAGTTCAGAAAAATATCAGATCTGAACCAGTTCATTCCTACTGTCTTCCATCAGTAACTGGAAATCTATTGAGCCTACTCTGTGCTTTACCCCGTGGTAAAGACCCTGTAGCTTGCAGGCTCACAGGCTGGAGAGACAAGTAAACATGTAGTTACAGTACAGCAGGAACCCAAAGGTGGGGACAAGGAGAACACATTGTAGGGATGGGAAACCTCCCTTTAAAACCTCCTTAGAGTGAGCCCAGCCCAGACCTAAAGCAATCAAGGAAGGCTTCCTGATGGAGATAAGAGCTGAAGCCCAGTAACTGAGAGTCGAGAAGGAAGAGGAGCAGAAATATGTACCAGAAGCAGGGAACAGAGCTAAGCGCGTCACCTCACCCTCACTCTCACCTTTTGAGGGAGGTACTGTGATTACTATCATTTTACAGATAAGAAAACTGAGGCTCAAAGAAGTTAAGTAATTTGGCCAAGGCCACAGGGCCAGTAGGTGGCAAAGCAAGAAGTTAAATCTGGACGGTGCAAAGAGCTACCGTGGTGAGCTTGAGCGACTGAGTGGATTTTTGCCAGGCTGCAGATGGTGGCATAAGGAACAGGCAGGACACCTTAAGGAGAGGCTCACCGGGCCTCCGGTGTGATGGGGAGGTGGGCGGGGCCTCCTGTGTGATGGAGAGGTGGGCAGGGCCTCCTGTGTGATTGAAAGGTGGGCGGGGCTTAATGCGTGATGGAGAGGCGGATGGGGCCTCATGTGTGACAGTGCATTAGTTTGTTGGGGCTGCCATAGTCAACTACTGTACTAGACTGAGTGGCTTAAAAAACAGAAATGTATTTTCTCACAGTTCTGGAGGCTGACAGCCCAAGATCAAGGTGCTGTCAGGTTGGTTTCTCCCAACCCTGTTGAGGTAGGAGGATCGCTCTCTCCCTACCTTCTCTCTGTGTCCTCACCATGGTCTTTTTCTCAGTGCTCGAAGCCCTAGTGTCTCTTTGTGTTTCCAAATTTCCTCCTCTTATAAAGACACCAGTCAGGTTGGATTAGGGCTCACCCTAATGGCTTCATTTTTAAGTGAATCGCCTCTTTAAAGGTCTCATCTCCAATTACTGTCACACCCTGCGGTACAGGGGTTAGAGCTTCAACAAATGAATCTGGGATGTCCACAATTCAGACGATTACAAATTATTTAGGAGGTTTGAAGATTTTTTTTTTTTTTTGAGGTGGAGTCTCGCTCTGTCACCCAGTCTGGAGTGCAATGGCGGGATCTTGGCTCACTGTAATCTCTGCCTCCTGGGTTGAAGCAATTCTCCGGTCTCAGCCTCCTGAGTAGCTGGACTTACAGGCACATGCCACCACGCCTGGCTAATTTTTGTATTTTTATTAGAGACAGGGTTTCACCATGTTGATCAGGCTGGTCTCAAACTCCTGACCTTGTGATCCGCCTGCCTCATCCTCCAAAAGTGCTGGGATTACAAGCATGAGCCACTGCACCTGGCCAAAGTTTGATGATTTTAAGCAAGAGAGGGAGAGGGTCAGGCTGGCATCTGCTCTTGTCACCTGAAGAAATGAATCTGATGTTCACATGCCCCACCTCCCCTCTACCCCTTGTGACCAAGCAGATCCCATCTCACCGATTCACTTCCTTTGTTTATTTCCCTCCCCACCCCACACATCCCAAAGCCCAGGCCTGCAGAGCCTCCAAGTTGCAAAACAGAAAAGCCAGTAGGTCTCTCCCTCAGCCTCTCACAACCTCCTAGGGTTATGGGGAGGGTATAGTGAGGTGCTCATGGTCCAGTGCCAAGCGTGTGGCACAGCTAGCTGCTGCTAGTGCTGAATGCTGGACATGGCCTCTGTGCCCAGACCTACCAAAATGCCGTCACCTGTAGGGCTCAAGACAGTGTTAATGGAGAAGAAAGAGACAAGAATTGAAAAGGGGTCAGGCACAATAGCTTATACCTATAATCCCAGAGCTTTGGGAGGCCAAGGCAGGAGGATCACTGGAGGCCAGGAGTTTGACACTAGCCTGGGCAACATAGCAAGACCCCATCTCTACAAAAAAAAATTTAAAAATTAGCTGGGCATGGTAATGTGTGTCTGTAGTCCCAGCTACTCTAGAAGCTGAGGCAGGAAGATTACTTGAGCCCAGGAGTTGGAGGCTGCAGTAAGCCATGAACTCCAGTCTGGTGACAGAATAAGAGCCTGTCTCTTAAAAAAAAGTTTTATTTAATAAAATAGCTGAAAAGGCTGTAGGCTTACAAGTCCTTTAAATTAGAAGTAAAGGAATAGCAGGTGCTTAGTAAATAATTTGTGGCAGGAAAAGACCCCAGTGAAGAAGGGAAAGAGAGTTTCTCACTGTAGTTTTCCAAAGACCTGGTGGATACAGCCACCCTAATAGACAGGAGTGAGGGGTGGGTTCGGGCAGGGCCGTTCCCCTTTAAGCTGAGCAAATGCAAGCCCCTTAAGGGATTAGCCGGGATAACCCTGGGTCAGCTCCACATTTAAGCCCAGGGTTTGGATATCACCTTCTGAAGAGGTGCCTTCTGGAAACAGAGAGTATAGATACCTTCCTGCCCCTGGGAACACCAGGCTGAGGAACCCTGGGGAGTGTGGATCAGGGCAGGATGCAGTTTCAGAGAAGAGCAATTACACAGGTTCTTAATGGAGGCATCTGGCCCATTAGTGTAAGAGGAGAAATCTTGCGGGGAGGAGGGCAGCTGGCCAGGACTCCACCTGTTTCCAGGAAAAAAGGCAGGCAGCAGGTTAACCCTCTCCTGACCTCGCTCTCGGGGTGACCGCTGCGTTGGCTTCATCAGCACCTCATCAGAGCCCGGGCCTGTGAGAGCACAGACATGGAGTTAAACTGACACTGGTCAAGTTCTCACTAATCCTAGTAGCGTGACCTCAAGTCACTCACTGCCCCTCTCTAATCCTCCCGTCCCCCATGTAAAGTGGAAGTGGGAGCAGTATATTACCTCTAGGGCTTTTGTGAGCTTTAAATGAGATACTGGGAACCATCTCAGTCACCAACAAGCTCTTTGGCCTTGAGCAAAGTGATTCCACCTCTCTGAGCCTCAGTTTCCCCTTCTCTAAAATGTGTGTAATAATTCATACCCCAGCAGGCTGTTGGAAGAATTAAATAATGTGTATAAAATGCCCCCATCGATGCCTGGCTCATTGTAGGTGTTTAATACAAAGTATCCAAAAAATCAGAAAATGTAGGTGAGACACATGTAATTGTTGTTTAAGACATCAAACACATAGGCCATGTCCAGCATTTAGCAATAGCAGTGGCTAGCTGTACCACAAATGCAGTGGTATGACCTCGGCTCATCACAGCCTTGACCTCCCTGGCTCAAGCGATCCTCTTACCTCAGCCTCCTGAATAGCAGGGATCACAGGTGCATGCCACCATGCCCAGCTTATTCTAATTTTTGTATTTTTTGTAGGCTGGTCTCAAACTCCTGAGCTCAAGCAATCCACCTGCCTCAGCCTCCCAAAGTTCTGGGATTATAGGCATGTACCACCATGCCCAACCTGAGACGTATTTTTAAACAGTGTTTTAGTGAACATTTTTTTTTTCTTTTTTGAGGCAGAATCTCGCTCTGTCCCCCAGGCTGGACTGCAATGGTACAATCTCAGCTCACAGCAACCTCTGTCTCCCAGGTTCAAGCGATTCTCCTGTCTCAGCCTCATGAGTAGCCTGGGATTACAGGAGCCCGCCATCACACCTGGCTAATTTTGTATTTTTAGTAGAGACGGGGTTTCACCATGTTGGTTAGGCTGGTCTCGAACTCCTGACCTCGGGATCCACCTGCCTCGGCCTCCCAAATTGCCGGTATTACAGGCGTGAGCCACTGCACCCGGCCTAGCAAACACTTTCAAGTAATATGCTCTATGTGTTTTTCTTCAACACCCAGCTATATTTTCAGGCAAAGGACTCATAAATGCAAAGCAATGCATCCAATTTTTAATCTGGGGAGGGGAAGCACAATTAATACACTAGTTTCCCTGTGTTTCCAGACTTTTTACACACTCCTAGTTTATTTATTGTACTTTTATCAGATTAACAATTGGACCTACATAGGATACTGATTTCCTTGAAGCCTCTCATTTGCCTGAGTCAAGACTTCCAGCTGGGGAACCCCTCCTTTTTTCTCTCCCTGCTATATACACAAATTCTCAGAAACTGGCATTGGATAATCTCATTTCAAATTGGCTCTACTACCTACTGGCCTGGTGACCTGGCACAACACCGTTAAGTCCTGTGAGCCTCTGATTCCTCATCTGTAAAATGAGCTAAAGAATATCTCATGCGCCCATTGCAAAGGCCAAATGAGACGATACATGCCAAATACTTACACAGGCCTGAGCCCACTCCCTCACTGGGAGCAAGTACCTCTACTATTTCTGTGGCTATTTTTGTGAAGAATGTTGTTCTAACGGGATTCCACTGTGTTCCCTCTCTCTGTCTTTGCAGCGAGCCCCTCTTCCGCCAGCTCTGTGCTCTCCACTGGCTTCTGGAGGCCCTGACTATCGACCACACCCACCACACCATGAAGCCTGTGATCACCTGCTGGAATCCAAAGTACGCCTCAGCCCTCCAATTTGCGGTAGACTAACAATAGGCTGGGCAGTGGGGAAGGGACTCCTGTACGTTCTTCTGCTCCCTTTGCTGTTTTTGGTGGGTGGGTTGTTTTAGGAGCTCTTCTATGTGCTCTGTGGGATCTGAACAGGGGAGAACTAGAGACAGCTTATGCAGATTCATGGGAGCCGGCTGTGTGCATCTCCTTCCCGCATCTCTTCCCAACTCCACATTCAGTGACATCACATGGGTAGCCTGAAATCAGCCAGCCACAATGGGAATATTTACACCACAGAAATTGGCAAGCTACGGAAACCCAGCTTGGGATCCACAGCTCGGATGCTCTCCAACTCTCTTCTTGGACTGTGTCTCCCTAACACCATTCTTTATTCTTCTTCCCTTTCCTCCTCATTTCCCTCCCTCTTATTCTTTCTTTTCTTTTTGTTTTTATTTTTATCCTTTCTTTCAAGTTTGTGTTTCGTTTTGCTTTGGTCTTTTTGGTTTTTAACATACATTGGTGGCTATTTCTCCACTTGGACGCAAGGGAATATTTGGTATTCAGCTCCCTGGAGCAGCTGGGTCTGTACAGGCAGAAGCTCCAGAACATGTTGTCTGGGTCAAGAGAAGTGTTCAGTGTTCCCAGCAGAGGAGAGAGTTCACACAAAAGCTTTGAGGCCACTGTTGCAGGAACAGCATTGTACACACAGGGCAGAACAAAGAACAGACAGGCAGGTAAAGGCATTGGTTCTTTAAGAAGAGTCAGGTTGTTTGTTAAGAAGGGGCCAAAAAAAGGTAAAGAACCCTGACTTGAGGAATCAGATTTTCACTGTGAAAATCACAGCCTGAGTTAAATGAGATAGTTCCCCACCTGTGGTGCTAACCTGTGCACTGACATTGCCATCCTCTCACAATCCTGCCTCCCAGGAGGACCTCGTCTTCCTCCAACCAAAACTTGAGTCTTAATTAACTCTTTCCTCTTTAAGGCATTTATTACCCATTCCCTAGATCTCCTCCAACTCCAAGTCGTCTCTTACACCAGGACCTAGAGAAACTAACCTCAAATCCAACCAGCAATATAAATCATGCATCCATTGATAGATCAGTATCTCCAATTAATTCAGCGTTTTAGGTTGGGATGAATTTTAAACTATAGTCTTTTTTGATATAAGTTGTTGACAGACTATTTTTTTAAGCAGCAGGCACTCATTTTTTTAAAATAGAAACCCCTATAATGTAAAATAGACTTTTCTAAATGAAACTTCTTCATGAAGCAAGAGGTTTGGGGGCCTGGGAGAGCTAGGACCCCTCCAACTAACTTCTGTCCTCACCATGGCACCCTAGTTATTTCCAAAATATCTTTGTGGCTTCCAAAATTCCTTTGAAAACAACAGCCTTAAAACATTTTTTATGCCTTTTATTTTTTAAAAGAGATGAGAGTCTTGCTCTGTTGCCCAGGCTAGAGTACAGGGGCACAATCATAGCTCACCACAGCCTTGAACTCCTGGGCTCAAGCAATCCTCCTGCCTCAGCCTCCCAGACAGCTTGTACTACAGGTGAATGCCACCACACCTGGCTAATTTTTTTTCTTCCTTTCTTTTTAAATTATACTTTAAGTTCTGGGGTACATGTGCAGAATGTGCAGGATTGTGACATAATTATACAGATGCCATGGTGGTTTGCTGCCTCCATCCCCCTGTCACCTACATTAGGTATTTCTCCTAATGTTATCCCTCCTAACCTCCCCAACCCCTGCTATCTTTCCCCTAGCCCCCCAACCCAACAACAGACCCCAGTGTGTGATGTTCCCCTCCCTGTGTCCATATGTTCTCATTGTTCAGCACCCACTTATGATTGAGAACATGCGGTGTTTGGTTTTCTCTTCTTGTGTCAGTTTGCTGAGAATGACAGTTTCCAGCTTCATCCATGTCCCTGCAAAGGACATGAACTCATCCTTTTTTATGGCTGAATAGTATTCCATGGTGTGTATGTGTCACATCTTTTTATCCAGTCTATCACTGATGGGCATTTGGGTTGGTTCCAAGTCTTCGCTATTGTAAACAGTGCTGCAATGAACATATGTGTGTATGTGTCTTTATAATAGAATGATTTATACCCGTTTGAGTATATACCCAGTATGGGATTGCTGGGTCAAATGGAATTTCTATTTCTAGATCCTTGAGGAAGTGCCACACTGTCTTCCACAATGGTTGAATTAATTTACCCTTCCACCAACAGTGTAAAAGTGTTCCTATTTCTCCACATCCTCTCCAGCATCTGTTGTCTCCAGGTTTTTTAATGATCACCATTCTAACTGGCGTGAGATGGTATCTCAATGTGGTTTTGATTTGCATTTCTCTAATGACTAGTGATGATGAGCGTTTTTTCATATGTTTGCTGGCTGCATAACTGTATTCTTTTGAGAAGTGTCTGTTCATATCTTTCACCCACTTTTTGATGGGGTTACTCATTTTTTTCTTGTATATTTGTTTTAGTTTTTTGTAGTTTCTGGATATTAGCCCTGATATTAGCCCTGGATATTAGCCCTGATATTCTGGTTCAGTCTAATGATTGTTTCTTTTACTGTGCAGAAGCTCTTAAGTTTAATTAGATCCCATTTGTCTATTTTGGTTTTTGTTGCCATTGCTTTTGGTTTTTTGGTCATGAAGTCCTTTCCTATGCCTATGGCCTGAATGGTATTGCCTAGCTTTTCTTCTAGGGTTTTCATGGTGTTGGGTTTTATGTTTAAATCTCTAATCCATCTGGAGTTAATTTTTGTATAAGATGTAAGGAAGGGGTCCAATTTCAGCTTTCTGCACATGGCTAGCCCATTTTCCCAACACCATTTATTAAACAGGGGATCCTTTCCCCATTGCTTGTTTTTGTCAGGTTTGTCAGAGATCAGATGGTTGTAGATATGTGGCATTACTTCTGAAGCCTCTGTTCTGTTCCATTGGTCTATATCTCTGTTTTGGTACCAGTACCATGCTGTTTTGATTACTGTACCCTTGTAGTATAGGTTGAAGTTAGGTAGTGTGATGCCTCCAGCTTTGTTCTTTTTGCTTAGGATTGTCTTGGTTATGTGGGCTCTTTTTTGGGTCCATATGAAGTTTAAGATGTTTTTTTCCAGTTGTGTGAAGAAGGTCTATGGTAGCTTGATGGGGATAGCATTGAATCTATAAATTACTTTGGGCGGTATTGACATTTTCACATTACTGATTCTTCCTAACCATGAGCATGGAATGTTTTTCCATCTGTTTGTGTCCTTTCTTATTTCCTTGAGCAGTGGTTTGTAGTTCTCCTTGAAGAGGTCCTTCAGGTCCCTTGTTAGTTGTATCCCTAGGTATTTTATTCTCTTTGTAGCAATTGTGAATGGGAGTTCACTCATGATTTGGCTCTCTGTTTGTCTGTTATTGGTGTATAGGAATGCTTGTGACCTGGCTAATTTTTTTTTAAGTTTTTAGAGACAGTGTCTTGTTATGTTGCCCAAGCTGGTGTCTAGCTCATGGCCTGAAGCTATCCTCCTGCCTTAACATCCCAAGTAGCTGGGATTACAGGCTATTTATTTTTCTCTAAAATAAAACTGCTGAAGTAATAAGAGAATATAATTTGTGCTTGTGAAAGTCTTTCAAAAAATGTGTAAGTATATAAAGTATGAAAGCCTTTCTTCCCACCCTGAAATCCCCTTCTTAAAGAAAACTCCTTTTAAAAGTCTGATATATGTCCTTCAAAATCTTTCTCTATTTTTCCCCTTGAACAGTGACTCATGGGCATCTTTCCATAATGGTATACACAAGTTTACACATTCTTTCAGTGGCAGCAGAGTATTCTATTGTATGGATGGAGTATAGCCCATTTCTCTATTAACAGACACTGAGGTCATTCCCAAATTTTTGACATTTCAAGTAATATTGCATGGAATATCTTTAAACATATCTTTTATGACCAGTTGCAAGTGTTTCTGTTGGCTGAATTCCAGAAATGAGAATTCCTAGGTAAAAGCAATATCTTTTTTTCCATAGTTGATTGCTTACATTCTAAGAAAAAAGCCTCTGAGCCAGAGGGCTCCTGATAGCATTTCATCTCCCTGAGCAAACCACCAACAGCAACATTTTGCTTCCTACATGTGGGCACCCATTCTCCAAAATTGAGAAAAGAACATCATGTAGAATTTGGATTGGGAAGAGAAAAGGGGCCATGTTTCTTTTCTTTGGTCATTTTTAGAAATGTGCTCAGAATGTGACCAAAAATTGTTAACTATAGTAAAAAGATGTAGTGGTCACATTGAGAGTAGCAGTTCTTCTACAGTGACTTGTAGTGGTAGAATTCCATCAGTGTTCCAAGGATGTCCAGCTCTATAAAATCAGAACCAGCCATCCTGAGGGAAAAAAAATGCAGTCCAGGAAGATTCCCATAGGAAGTCAGCATATTTGTTAGGGTTTGTTTTTTCTAGTTGTCCATTTCTTCCTGGTGGGTATTTTAGCCTAGGGTCAATGACAATGCTGGCAAATGTTTTAGCAACCAGTTCTCTAGGAGGTGAAGAACGGTGATTTGTGACAATGCCAATTTCAATGGTGTAAATACTCCCACTATGGCTGATTTCAATCTTACCAACATGATGTCACTCAACTTGGGAAGAGATGTACAGAATTCGTTCTTGTGAGCTAGTATGAGCCAGGTCCAGCACACCACTGTTTGGGACTCATTTTTAAAAATTATGAATCTGGGGGGGCAGTTTAAGTTCCCTATAAAGTGTCAGAACACATCTTTTTAGTTATAAGAAAGCAGAAAGAGCTCTTCTCTTCAATGCTTAATCTCTATTTATGAAGTTTCACCCTTATTAGAAGAGTGTGAATTTCCCCAAATCTTCAAGTGAATTTTTTTAAACCCAGAGGGATTAGAGTGATCAAGAGCAAAGGGTTTAGCATCAGTTGAACCCAGATGAGTCAAGGCTGTGCCGCTTAATAGCTGTGTGACCTTGGGCAAGTCACTTGACATCTCTAGGC